GCTTAAAAAATACCAAGAAATGAAATGCATTTTTAATGAATCTTCAATGAATATCAGAGAATTTCTTTCAAACAATCAAGAATTCAATGAAAGGCTACCTAAGAATGACCAAGCAGATGTAAGTCAAATTAAGAAAATTGTTGGAATTAACTGACATCACAGTAAAGACATCATATAAATTAAATTTGAAACCATGGATTGGGAAGGAATTAACAAAGTGTTTCATTTTACATTTCCTTGCATCCCAGTATGATCTACTAGAATTTCTTATCCCTATGATGATACGATTTAAATTATTTCTTGAAAAATTGTGGAAGAAGAAATCTCATCGGATTAGGCCATAGGTGAAAAAGATGAAAAACTTTGGCACACACTCACCAATGAGTTGCCAAAAATAGTAAAGGAGTTATCGCGATTCACAACAATGTTCTCAACAGAAACGCAAATCACGAGATAATCGAATGATGTCGCATAACGATCAAGACATTTCAACAGGGAATGTAAGATTACTTTCGAAATATGGCATTGAACCTCTTCCAGTTCGTTATTTGAATCATCTAGAACATACGCCAACATTCAAATCTCTGTTGACACCTCAAACTGAACAGTTACAAAAGAAAAGTTTTGTTGGGTGATTAGACAACGCGGACACCGTCGATAATTCCCGTATTGTTTCTTTTCAAAAACCTGTCAAAGATCACTGGACTTTCAACAGAAGACTCGATTTCATATGATGTAACCATCTGGAAAAAAGATCTGATAGATCTTGTTGTTTTAAAATGGCTGAAACTGGATAAGCCAGAAGCACAAAAACCTAAACGGACATAGGAATTGTCAAATGCTTAATGTGTGTCGATTTGCATAAACACCAATGGACCAAACTGGACATCGAGCTGAACTGCAAAAGCATCTTGGAATACTCTTATTCTTTACTTCCTTTCCTTTCAGTTTAGAGGACACTCGTGGCATTTTGATATTGCTTCATTAGATCTAAGATCTTACTTTATAGTTGCTAGCTGCATGAGTAGACATGTTTTCTAAGAAATTTGCATGTCATCAATACGATAAAACTTAGAGCATGCACTCTAAATGCCGTGTATAAAGACTGTATACTATATTGTCTTTAGTCAACCAAACAACTAGAGTATTCTCTTCGCCTTGGACAACTTTTACAATAGTCGAGATGGTTTCCAGGAGAGGTAGCGGAAGGTGCTGAATGTCTTATCAGAGGTGATGAAAGCGACGAACCAATCCGTAGTCATATTTTCCGTACATGCGAGAATTCATAAATCTCAATTTATTCATGTAGTGCCAGCTAATTGGAGTATTGTGTGGGAAAGAGATCAGCATATGCCAGAAATTATACTGCTTCAGGTCCTCGTCATTTCTTATTGAAATTACATACGTAACCCACTATCTCAGCACCGCACCAGATTATGAATTACGTTTTACCTCAAGTGTTGAAAGAAGAAATGATATACTGCCGGCACAACAACTAAAGGACCTCGTTTCAAAGACAAGCTTTGTCCGATTTCTCCAGTTGAAATATTAACAAAAATAAAAAAAATCAACTGGCCGCAGTGAGAAATTAAATTAAAAAAAGAAATGAAAATGAAGGATACAAATTGGGAGCAAAGGTAACTACTCAAATTTCAATCCAAGAATTAAAAGTTGTTAACGAAAACCATTTTATTGAATGCTAAAACTATTTGAAGATTACTGCTTCAAATTTATAAGAATGACCATGAAACAAAATTTATCTGGATACGACCAATTTTAATTAAGGAAAATCGTTTAACAAGCGACGATTACAAAGTCGTAGAATGAATTCTAATTCTAATCAGACGTGCACAATCGGGCGATCTGAGTAAAGAAAAAATATACAAATGGAACTTCTATTACAGTGAGGAAAAACTGTAGAGATCGAAGAGTTGATAGAACTGGATGGAAGTAGCAAACATCCAATCTTGCAATCACAATCAAGTCACTAAGCTTCTCATATGACGAAAACATGAAGAATCATATCGTCCTGGAATTATCCATACTGTATCAGAAATAAGACGTAAATTCTGGTTGCCAAAGGGCAGAATACGAAAGTAAACGAATTAATGAGGACATCAAAGCCACTTAAGTTACCACTTATGCCTACCTATCACAAACTCGAGTCAAAAGATTCAGGCCATTTGCAAAAGTTAGAATGGACTATTTGGGTCCTCTTTCAACAAAATGCAGTACTGGAAGCAACAATGCAACTTAATCCCAGCTGATTTTTAAAACCATAAGAGCAAATTAAGCGACTACATCTAAGAAAAGGAAATGGTATGGAAAAATACCATCGCTCCCTGACTGGAAGAATCTACGAAAGATTAATTGGATTAACGAAAAAGGCAACGAAAAGAGCTATTGGAAGAAAATTACTACGAGAAAGAGAACCTGACATTACTAGTGGAAGTGGAAGGTATTCTAAACATCCGTTCACTAAATTACGTAAATTTCGATGAATATGTCACACGTCCAATTGACTTCATATCTCCTAATGGTTCCTTAACTTTATCATCTTCGGTTACGACCCAGATGAATTTATTCCTCACCCACCAAGTATCAAAGAAAGAGTAATCAAATATTGGTTTAACATTCTTAAAAGTTTAAATAAATTCTTGAAAATATAGAAAGACGAATACTTCACTTACCTTAAAAAAAGAGCTCAAATGGAACATACTTCCCCAAAAATAGCAGAAAAAATAATTCCTCAAAAAGGCGAAATCAATGAACCAGAAATCCTCCTGAGATATGGAAATTGGCAAAAATAAAAGAAACTGTAAAAGATAGAGGTAACGAAAATAAGAAATGCTTTAATCCAAATGTCAAAGGAAAAATTCTAAATCGTCCGATAAACGCGTTGTATCCTTTAGAAATGAGTGACGAGAAACTAATAATTCAAACGAACATGAAAATTGAAATTCATTATGAACCTATTGCAGCAAGAAAAAGAAGGGCTATTAAACGAAATAAACAAACAGAAACAAGTAAGTCAAACGTAATAATGAAAATTTTTTTTAATAGCAACAATTTTTATATTACCAGTTCAAAATGTCCAATGAAAAATGTAAATGGATCATAAGAATTCCACTAAACATACCAAATAAATTGAATTGTGAAGAATTGATGAAAATGTTCGCCCTTCGAATAAAGTTACGGTATATATCAGAACGCATGTACGAATCGCCTCCTAACAAATGGATGACTAACAGTGACGTTCAATATTCATACGGATGACTTGGAACAAAGAGCCAATCAATGTCGAACTTCATACTCACGATTAGTGAGATTTATCTTTACAATAAAAGAGGCATAGTATCAGATCTTGATGATACCGAACATTGTCTAATATAAATGGGGAAATGTACGGCTCTTACAAGCATCGTTACCTGGAACGCAAAGGAAGCTGCAAACCAGTGTTTATACATAAACTTAAGAAGATATAATGCGAGGACCACTGTAGATAAATTGCAAGCTTCATTTGTTTTTAATCACAATAACGAAATGATAACGACTTCTATGTAATTATTAATCCACACATGATGGGTGGAGAAATCGATATCAACATTGGAACTAATAGCACTTCAAAGAAACAAAGAAACATCGGTAATGAAATGAATCCTTTAAGAAATCAATTATTTACGATAGAAATAGATAGAGAAAACTTAAACGGACCCAGAGAAGTGGGATTTCAATATATTTTCGATTCTTTGCAAATGGATTTCAATCATGGATTTAATCTATTAGATCGGAGGAGCTACCAAAACTGAAATAATCTATCACTATCGGGAAACCGGAATTACCTTCTATCCATAATTAAACATTTGTATTTCTACATAATTATATAATCGAAATGATTCATTACTTGTAAGGAATAAATGAAGGTTTACAATATTTCTCGTAATTAGCAAATTCTCAATATAAAAACTATTACATATCTGAATGTTCGTCTAAGCATTTCCTGTCTCATCTTCAAATAAAACTAATATAAATATTCTATTCAAATGATTAATCTTATATCCGCTGATTTATGTTTATCATCCTTTTGTAAAAACCTTTCTCATAGCTAACCTTATATTCCCAAGTTTGAGCAACCAGAACAAATTTCCACTACAATTACTGTTAATAGAATGGTTTCAATAAACAATTCAACTTTAACTACAACACTATTACTTTACAGAAAAAAAAGCTAAAAGAATCAACGGTAAATTAATGATTGCTCTTTGTAAAAAAGAAAAAATTGAATCACATCTTACTGAACTTAAAGCCAACTTGATAGACCAATTCGAAATCGAACGAATTAACACAGAATTGCCAAGAAATAATCAATCTGACCACTAAACAACGGGAATCAAAACAAGTCTGGGATGAACTCGCCGTGAAGAATTAGTGGACAATTTAGAGAACGAAACTAATAAACCTACAAATTTAATCAAACAATTATCAGAATCAATGAAACATTGGAAATTAACTACCGTTATATGAGTGTCTTTATATTGTCCACAGTAGTAACTGTTAATAATTTGAAATTTGATTTAATCAAATCTTTAGTTTGTTTCAAATCCTTAAGAAAAAGAGAAATTATAATTAAATAAATTATAGCTATTCCTATGAGAAATATAAAATTTTCATTTCAAAGAATAGTAAGCTAGAAATACCCATTACCAAAATCAAATCACAAAAAGAAATTCCTCTCGATAGATTCTAAATTCATTCCTCTTGAAATACTTAATTTTCTTTGATCGGAAATGTCGGAATACTAAAGTAATTTATAATATAATAAAGTTTTATATTTTTTTCATGATTTATCATCTAAGATGAAATTAAATCAATGTTACACTATCTAAGAAAATGAATCACTTATCTAATTTCCATCTTCCTATCAATCATCAAGTTTATATCTAGAATACTGCAAGATCTTCCCACTAGATTTTCATGCCTATGCAATGTATGGAATTTTTTTCTCTGCTTTAATCACAGATTAATAATTTGCGCAACGTAACTGTTAGCGAATAAAATTCGTGCGATAAACTCCTTTACACAATCTATTCGATACAACCAAAAAAAGATTTCCTTAACAAAATCCCTACAAAACTATTACAACAGTTTCTGATAATTGTCTTATAACATCCAACAAGAGTAAATTCCGCTCAAAAATATTTGACTGTATCACAAATACCCAAAAACTACTTCTAAAACAATGATGGGCATCTCTTAGAATTTATTTTTCTATCTAAATGGAAGCACTATTTTCAAATACTATGTTGTGTTTGGAAGCAACAATGCTCCACCTTCCTTTCTAAGGCTTTAACAGCCTCAACAAGCAGAAAACAAAACTGATAATACTTATTATTCAACTATATCAAATAAATAGTAAGATACAATCTTGAAGTAATAAATACGCACCTGCTGAATAGACACGATTGTTAGCATGTAAGTGAAAGCGGGCAGATTATTCGCGCAATCAGCTTGGCAACAACTGACTATAAATCCAATTCCTTTTCTTTGCTTTTACAAGTATTAGTCGTATTCATTGGACAAAATTTTACCGTCAAATTACCAAGAGTGTATGATCATTTGGCAATGTATTTCCTATGTGATTGCACATGACCATTACGAACGTTGCCCACAATGTTAGCATCAAACTGAAAAAAAAAGGCATTTCCCTTTGACAACAAAATGAAAGCATTATAGAAGCCACATCTCAAATTTTTATAGAAAATAATCCTATCAAGAAAATCAAAACTGCAATAAAATACATCAATAAAAGTTGTTTTAGAACAATCATTAAAAGGCAAAAAATACTGCTAAAATCCACCACAAACTTAGCTGAGTTTTGAAAAATGTGACGTAGCTTTAAATGCTAGGTATCATTTCAGTATGCTCTGAATTATTCATAATGTACCGTTTTATACTCAAACAGTACATTACGAGTAGCCATTACAATAAAGGTGAAATCCTTAAAAAGCAGTCATCTATTTCCATTAATGGAATAAGATTTAAAATTAGTGATTCGCCTCTTGTGTTCACTGCAGTTCATAACAGCCTTCATATCAGAGTTCAAAAGTTTTTAAGTGTTTGATTTACACAGGTTGCATTCTTCCATATCAACTAAGCTGTATATATTGCGGTGTAAAACACTTTACAATGTTCAGAATGTATATACTGAAATGTGAAATAAAGCTTGGTGCACTGATCTTTTAAATGAATGCGATTTACGATGAAGTCTAAAGTTATTACCAACTGACCTTATATTCTAAAGTTATTACCAACTGACCTTATATTTGAAATAATTTCATTATAAGTTCACTAAAACTATCCACTGAGACTATTTTCGAACTGTGAACAGTTATAGCAATAACAAATGACGTCTCTAATCGATTTACACAAATATATTTGTGGTTGAAAACAGACAATGGCTAATAAAGAAAAACAAGAAATACCTTTCAAAATATCCGCGATAATCAGTTTATCGTGATTCTACAATTGTGAAATCAAAGCCGTTCATGGATGGTTAAGAGCGAAATAGGGATTAGACCAGATCAAAATTTCCAGAATTGAGGTAGTTTCAATCCTACATCCAAATATAACTGTAAGAAGTCTCCTTGTTCCTCCCTTCTCTCAGCTTATTTGATTTGAATATGTATCGCAACATACAACAAATTTTCGCTTGCTGAATATTTCTTCCTCAAGTCATTGGGAGAACAATCAGGAACAACTAAAATAAACTGATTTAGTGGCTGACCCCACGAGTATCTTCAGCGAATCTATCTACATCAGCGCTGTTTAGTTTTGAACTTTCTCGATATGTTGCAACAACTCCAACAATTTGACAGTCTTCAAATCTTTAGATAGTTTAAGAAAGAGCTATTTCCAAAAAACCATTTTCAAAGTAATAACATAAAATGTTTGCAGTTACTTCCTGTTTTTGTGAAGTACATGGCAATACAGTGAAATGGTAGGTCATTAAGAAATCACAACCACAAAAATGATATTTTGAAAACATATTCTGGAGGATATTATAACTTACAGAACTGTGAGACGAAAAAGCAAATTGATCTTTAATTGTTACTATTATTTTGGAAGCTCAAATCAAGACCAAAAAAATGTTTCGTCATATTGACAGCAAAACTTCAAAACTGTGAGATAATTTTTTTTTTTTCAGTTCTACATATGAAACAAGCAATTTATTTGAACCTGGATACTTGTGTTATCTCTTATAATCTATTAACGTTTTACACAATTTCCGAATTTCAATTCCTTTAGTAATAGCATTTCTATATTCCTGGAAAGCCTGCTTTATATTATTATAGTTTTCAAATTACATTATCCTTAACCCATCATATTCTTTAATTAAAATCCTAATAACCATGAAACTGCATATATTCACTACTGAAAATATGAAAGTGACATACCAAGGTGTCGTGCCGAGTTTATTTCACTGATAAAATCGGCATATATATGAGTATATATATGGCAGTTATTCTGCAACTTCGTGGTGTGTTGTTACTGGAACGCGTGTTTTTCTGAAAATTTATTTCAGTATTTGAAAAATTTCCACTTAAAAACAGGAAAATGCGAAAATAACTATCTGCAATAGAGGAACTGATAAAATCAACAAATCCCGAAAACACGAAATATTCCAATTTCCGATAAAAGTGATATCCTTTTGAGGTATATATATATATATATATGCCAAGAAATTTTTTTGATCTGATTAGTTTGTTTTAGAGATATATTGTTCTAAAGGTTTATTTTTTGTTGAAGATTAGTCGTAATATTATATGACAATTATAATGTTAATAGATGAAAACTTCCTGACCATTGATAATTGAAGTAATTCTTTATTAGTTTGAATGAGAATTGGTAAGTGGTAGGATGAGTTAGATAGTGAACTAATTGTTAATGTGGACAGTGAAAATGGCTGCTGAGCCTGCCTGATCCTGGTGAGACTAACTATATATTCCTTTCGAGTTGAGTGGTGATGAGTGAGTGCTGGTCACAGTAAATTGAATGATTGATCATGAATAAAGGATCATAAGTAACTTAATAATCACCGACGACCAAGAAAATAAACAAGACATATCACTGAAAATTTGTGACAAATAACATTAATTATTGACGATACTCTTGAAACAGTAAGCAAGCACATCTTATCACTTCCCTAAGAATTTGGGCAAACAATTTCTATAGCATAAACATCAAGAATACAAGGTACTTTGATTATGTCAATATTCTACATTACAAAGTTATTTTTCAAGTTTTTTGTTTCCTTTATGCACCACTGTCTAATCTACATCTAACACGCATACACTATACGTATATGATTTCCTTTCCGTCTCAAATTTCCAAACAAGATGGTTAAGCTACCAGAAGTTTCAGAAAGCTTGGGGAATAGCCACCAGAGAGGCAATAGAAATATAGAGGATTCATCCGTTAATCTGATATCTACAGCGATCAGAAGATCCAGTTCGAAATTCAACTACCGATTCCAGAGTTGCCGCGGCCGCATTTTTTCGCGCGCCTATGGTATTTATGTTGTTACACGTCACGACTTGCAGTTCGTTTTTGGGCAGTGGGTTAAGGCAACGGATCTTTTTCAGGCTTTTTAGAAAAAAGCGGAGGATGCGCTGGCATCATTCCTTGGCTCTTCCGTTATCAATCACATGCGTTACACTAGGACTTAATACCGATCGTCAGTTGCGCAGTACCACGACGTATTATGAACAGAGAAAGAAAGCGGCTGCTATCGTGAAACATTTCATGGTACTTCTTGACACTAATGGAAATAACAATAAGGAAGTTAGCAATGAATGGTCTTAATGTAGACCTGCTCGAACTCCCTTGTGCAAATTTTTCTGATGTTTGGAATTCCAACGAATCTGATTGTAAGCTATTGTTTCATGATGTCGCTACACTTAGAGTATCTGTCTGGAAAAATCTTTTTCGAGTTTTCCTATTTGACAAATATATTGCATTGGCGCAATTTGTAGAGGTTACGTTGTTGACACTTACTCGTTGAAACCTCACGATCTACTCCGCAACATGCAGTGAGTAACACCAAACATGTTTTGCGATCTTTCTTCGTCCTTACTCTAAATTAGTATAAAAACCTTTAACATTTTCGTTTTCATAGGTCCTGCGTAAAAATTTAATGAAAAAGTACAAGGACAAAAATAATCACTTCCCCATCTATACATGAAATCACTATGTTTAGATTAGACCATTTACTCGAAAGCTGGAAAAATAAGTTTATGAGACGGATACTTAATGAGTGTTGTCACTACTGAACTACATGGAATGATGAAGCCAATCTGATGCTTAAAGTCAATATGGTACAGGTGAAAAATGGAGTCCCAGGACTGTCTATAGGTGTTTCACGTAACGGTCGATGCATCTGGAAACAAGGATACGGTTACGCAGATGTGGAACAGCTGGTACCATGCAAAAGCGACACAGTGATGAGAATTGCCAGCATAAGCAAACCAATAACAGCTGCCCTTGCTGCACGTTTGGTTCAGCGCGGAAAGCTGGATTTGGATGCTTCTGTTCAGGTTCCAATGTTTTATTATGGGAATAATTTGTGTAGAGCGATGGAGAAAATTTACAAACCGCCAATACTGGAAAAAAGGGAGCTTTATTTCCAAATATCATATGTGAGATATAAAGAATGAATTGCAGGACTATGTGCCGGATTTCCCAAAAAAGAAATATAACGAGAAAGACGTTACCATAACAATCCGTCAGCTTTTGAGCCATACAAGTGGTATAAGACATTACAAAACGGTTACCTTTTTTTCTCTCACTTTGCTAAAACGTTGGTCTTGTTCCCGCTGAGTATATTTGGTAGATGATGAAAAGTCCGGGAAAAAAGCACACTGTGAGGAACTATACATATTTAAGAGTGATTAGTTGTCGCGACCGCCCTTAACAATCTCGTATTCTCAGTTAGTTACTAACAGCAATGAGAAAGAAATTTTGAGTTGTTTATGATCTGTCTCCATGCGTGCAAAGAAATGGATGGACAGAGGTATGGAAAGCCTTCTGTAGGAAACTGCTGGCAGAAATCTAGAGCAGAATATGCTTAAAATCCCTTAAGTTTTATTTTCCAAACGATATGAACAAAGCACAGGTATGAGAAATATCTACTGCTACCAAGTAAACAAGGACAAAAATATTTCAGTAATATTATAGTAAAAAAAGAATGTATTCTAAATGTACATAATAACTACTCAATATCAATCCGCATTCGATTTCTCCTGTTTTTTCTTGTAGTCTTTTAAAGCTGCCTGGATTGCATCCTGAGCTAGCACTGCAGAAAATGCATTAATTATAAACGATCAGATGTAAAGAGGCAGTATACAAAAATAATGAGGAAGCAAATACAGAATCCACAACTTACTAGAGCAATGAAGTTTGACTGGAGGCAGGCAAAGTTCTTTTGCAATCTCGTCATTTTTGACTCTCGAAGCATATTCTGTTGTCTTGCCTTTAATCCATTCGGAAGCAAGACTGCTTGATGCAATCGCTGAGCCACAACCAAATGTTTTAAATTTTGCATCAATTATTTTGCCACTTTCATCAACCTGACTTTAGAATGGTATGCACTTTAAATTTTAACTTCCACTATAGCATTAGGTCCTGTTTCTTTACAAAGCTAATACTCCAACAGTTCTGCTACAAAGGATATGTTTTCAAACGAACGCCACAATGTGGTGAAATATGCAGTGAGACTGTTGTTTTCAAAATGCAATCAGCCAGTAGGGCTTACAGCTCTTGTTCTACGTGCTGTTGCAAATTCTTGAAGCAATTCATAATACAAAAGGATTTACCTTGATTTGAAGTTTCATAACATCACCACAGGCCGGTGACCCAACAATACCCGTGCCAACGTTCGGGTCATTCTTATCGAGTGTTCCTACATTCCGTGGATGTTCATAGTGATCAATAACTTTTTTATGGTACAATGAATTTATAACTCTTGTGCTGACGGTTGAAGATAAAAACGAGGGTAGCTTCGTCGACGACGAAACCATTCTCTAAAATCAGCATGTTTGAAATTTTCAACAACTTCGTACACTCGACACTCCAACCCCCCTCCCCCCGACCCCTTACGGCCTTCCCGCCCACTCCTCAAGAACTACCGAAACCCACCATACATTAAACCCACAAATCCTTATCAAATTTTCACCGACCATATGGTCGGACACGAGATGATCGTGTCGGTGTGAAAATTTTTGTGGCCCATGGCGGTTTGTTTTTGATACTTTTATCATTTGGTTATAGCCGGATGAACCGACTGTTGAAGATTTTGTGCGAGAACTAAGGAAAGCGGCTGAAACAGGGATTGATGATAATGTGAAGAATTTGCTGCATAAAATAAAAACAAAATATAAGGTACGTTTTCTTTTTCTTGAACATTTCCATATAATCTTTTTAAACTTTTTCCATTTTAAAATTAAAAGAGGCGTCAGTGTGGTTCACCGGACTAAAAACTACAAAATATTTGTACTTTGCTCGACAGTGGATAAATGGCTTTTCTTGATTGACATCATCAGATGAACATAGCTATTGCTATATTCATGCTATATTTCATTTCTGGTAAGTGCGACGCAATGTTGATATAGTCAGATATCCAGGACAACATGTCCCCTGTTCCTTCTGATTTAGGTGTACGTTGCAAATATCGTCTTCCGAAAGAGGCTCAATGTTAGTTTTTAACATTTTGAATCATTATACCTTGTTTTAATGTTAAAATAGAATGAAGTTGTTTTTTATTTAACACATTCATTGAAATGAGAAATTTTTTTTTAACGGTCTAACCTTCTAGGATAAACACGGTAAAAGCAGCGCAACCCGACATCAAAGTGTCGAATTCAAGGATAAATCTGAGTTTTTTTCCAATATTCACTATGAATGTGTAAAAGATGCACTGGAAATCTTCAAACATGATGAATTAGTAGCAGAACCGGGAACTAAATTCCAATATACAACCCATGGATTTACTTTACTCAGTGCAGCATTAGAGAAAGCAGCTAATAAAAGCTATACAGAACAAATAACAAATTTATTTCGGGAATTAGGAATGAATCACTCATACCTCGACTTCAATTTTCCCCTCATCACTAATCGAGCCAGGTATTTTTGTGTGTCTCGTCAAGCTTTTTATTGATCTCATATTGCATTGGTTGTTTCATTATCAGCTTATAGCGAAGTTCTTACATGTAACGATGCATTTTACTAAGTGACTTGAAAGCTTCCTTATGAAATGTAGTTTTATAAAAACTCAGTCGAACAATGTTCTTGCAGATCGTTTGTTTCAGATATTACTATCGCGATCCGGATCATAAATTAAAGAATGTTCCAGAAGTAGACAATTCAAATAAATGGGCTGGTGGTGGACTGTTATCCACTGTGACTGATTTGCTTATTTTTGCTAATGCAATGCTTTATAGGTAAATTCGAGTCCAGTATCTCTATATTTGTAATCCTCAATAAACTGAAAACTGGGAATCCTGAAAATAGCATGTCAAATTTCTTCCCAAAATTCACGAAAAAATTTATGGATTTGAGGAAGAGATTTAATATACCATTTTCAGTTATCATGCAGCGCAACAGTCATCAATCAAAAATAATGGAATGGAACCTTTGCTCGACGCCGAAACCATGAAAACATTTTGGAAAGGTGAAATTTCGGATCATCGAGGGAATATGTACGCTCTTGGTTGGTACAAAATCGATGGAGAGGATCAAAAATATGGAGGCCTAAGTGATACTTGGTCACGAAAAGGAGTTTTTTTGCATACTGGTGCTGCTGTGGGTGCGTCATCTGTTCTCCTTATCAAACCAGACCATAATTTTACCAGCACTGATGGAACTTGCGTTGCTATTCTTACAAACTTACATGAATGTGGCGAACTTACGCAGTTAGCTGTGGAAGTTGTTGAAATTTTCGGTTCTGCTACTTTCACCGAGACTTTATAGAAACCTTTGTTATTATTCATTATATTTATTAAAATGCCCTTTTTATTCTCACTGTTTTGTTAAAAATTATTACTTTGTCATGTTGTGCAGGCTATAAAAACTGTTCTCTGTTTAAATTTACAGTCTGGCCCATGAGTAAGTGTGCACCTGATTTGCTCTAAGTGCTCTGTAAAGTAATTTTGGATTGCGAATGTCAAATATAATATTATTTTCTCGAAGCAAGGTTTAACACTAAAGTTACAGAAAGAAAGTAATGACAGATTATTTGCAAAATGATACGGAACGAACTAACTGTTCTCGTGACGTGCAGTAGTGCAAATTACCAATTAGATCGAAATGAACTTAAGCTCTCTTTTATCTGATTTACCCAGCATGATTGATTTGACGGTAAAAACATAATTATGTTGTTGTTTCATGGTGAGACCGTTTCTACAAACCCTGCAAACAGTGTGCCTTACTTGTCATTTAGCCTGATATCAAATTATTTCTAGGTCTACTTTATTAAGAGAAACTATTAAACTTTATATATGGGAATACACTGGAAGAGAGGTCGCAGTAATTATATTTTTGAAAATGTTTAGTTTCAATATTCCCAACTGACATGTATGTCTCCCGATAGTAAATAAAATGCTGCACGGGAAAAAATTTCCGGATTGCACGCGAGTAATCAAACTGTTCATTACGTTAGCTGACTGTGTCTCATTCACCGAAGAAATCTGTTGAGGAATCTTCCGCTTCATTTAGAAGAAATGTTTGTCCAATGTATTTGGAGATGCAGAAAATAATTTTTGTATAAATTAAGCATTTTGCAAAGGTAAGTGGAGATTATGAAAGCGATCAAAAGTTTGCAATGTAAAAGTGAAATAAATAATTTCCGATGTAGATAGGTTGCACGAAAAATATGTGAATGAAGGTACAAATTGAAACATACAGAATTCTCTAGAAAATATTTTTTGACCATCTCCACTGTCGGAAAGATATCTATCTAAGTTCTTCAGTTAATCGATTTCCACTTGAGAAAAGTAGTCTAATCTTTGCTTGGTTATCAGAGACTCTGTTCATTCGTATACTTCATTCATCCATTTTTCAGCATTTTTATATCTTTTTTCTTTTTTTTGAGTGGGAGAAGGGAGAGATATTTCTTTTAAAACATTCAAATCGGAGCTATTTGATTGAAAAATAGTGTCGTCTGCTTGTCGACCTTAAATTTCAATTTGAATGCCGTGAATTTCTAAAGTTTTTAAAATAGAACTTGAGAGTAGTTCCGCTGATAGAGTTATTTGCTTTGTGACCCTTCAGTAGAAATATTACGTTTGATTTCTTAATTCAATTTAAAAAGATACCTTTGTGCTACTTTGCAGATCAAAATAAGCCATGCAAACGGCATTTGAAACAGTGACGGTAAGTATTTCGTTCAGTCGATATCAGTTCAGCTAATAATATTTTCAGAAAATTATCTTATCAAAGACAAGATTTCTCTTTAAAAATATAACATACCTTCAAAAATTTTTGAAAAAAAAAGTTGGACGGCAAAATAAACAATATTTTAAAAATGTTAGAAGTTTTCGACAGTGTTCAGAAGATTTTTGGTATTCAGTAAATTTTTCGTCTCATGTGAGAGCAGAAGTATGATTCTAAACTTCAGATAATAATGATATATGAAATCATTTAGACTGAAATCATTTAGATGACGGATGGAATGCTAGCAATTCCTTATAAAAAACAGTTTCCATCTTATACTTTTACATCGGTATACTTTTTGTACTCATTAACTTGTATTATAACGAAGAATCTTCCTTGTTTCTTTAGCCGAGAAATCGGGTTGAAAAAATAATTCATTATATTCAAAATGATACGAAAGATTGTCATTGTCATGAGAGCGGAAAATTTGAGAAAATTGTATTATATAAAAACTATAATGTTCTGAGAGTGCCGATTGTGCATGTTTTTGCAGAAGTTGGAAAAGTCAAGACTACATCGAAATGCTATGGAAGTTACCACTGATGATGGCAGTAATGATGATGGTTTTTTGTTGAAGACAGTGAATCTAAGTGGGCTATCAGAGAAAATTGATGATAAAAAATGCGTTAGTGGAGTAGCAGCTGCACAACAAAACAATTCAACAACATTACTACCACCAGTTTCACTATCATACATTCCTAAGCGAACTTCACAACGTGATTTCATGAACATAGTTGTAAGTGCTTACATTTTACGTTGTTTAACCACTAGATATTGTAATGGCTGAAGGGGTTAAACTTAAAAAATATATAATTTAAATTTTCAAATTTTCAGAATTAATGTTGATGGGAACTGTATGGAATGAATGCTGATCCATATCTTGTTTTTCTTTTTGTCAGAGCAAGAGTTATTGAATTTATCTCATCTTATTTCTAGTTTTCACCTTGAATTCGGAATTAAATTTAGCTATGAACTACACATTCAGACTGCAGTGCTATCTCCACTTTCATTCTCTTCTGCTATGCGCATGAATCAGAAAAGTTGGTATTCTGAAAGGTTTGTCTTATCCCTCATTTTTCACTGATTGCATCTTTACTAGTTTCACCAATTAGAATACTACAATATCACATTTAAAACTGATACTACAAATTTGCAATAGACGGTAAATATCAGAAATAACAGATTTCTTCTGCAATTGTTATTTTTAACTTAATTTTGAAAATCTGATTTGAAATTTGAAATGTTATTTTTCATACTTTTCTTATAAAAAGTATTTTGACAATCCAGTGCAAGTTTTGGTGGGCTTGAAATGGATGCTATTAACAATGAAACCAAAGTGGGAATTAATGAACAATCATATGTTTTACCATCGATAACGGTATACTAATTTAATGACTTGCGCGATTTTGTGAATTATTTTTATTATACAAGCAATTTTTTTTAGAATCAAATAATAAAATTAAAGCTTGCTGAAGATTAAAAGTGTGTTCTAGTTTAATTTCAACAGTGAATATTCCATCAAGTAATGGTGCCCTAAATATAGATAATATACCATTTCAAAACAATTAGAGATAGATAAGCGATAAGAACTAAATAATTTATTTAAAAAAAAAAACAAGGTAAACTGTAATAGAGAAGTAAATATCAATAGTTTTCACTTACAATGAGAGTGAAATTCTATTCATTACAATGTGAGAAAACAAACCGACTACTTTGAATTCAAAAAGAAATGCTAAAGTTATAGCTCAAAGGTCCAAAAAATCATGGAAAAGACATCACGTGGAATAATCAACACAAATCAATAATGGATCACATCCCTAAATCTTCTGAAAATACAGTGTATCCGGATGTTTTGAACGATGAAAGTGAATCTTTGTGTATATCACCGCCCCATCTGGTATGATTGTAATACACCCATCTTTATAATAATTAATTAATTCAATCACGGTATTAATGAATGAAGTTTAAATGTTATCTGAATATAATCCTTTTCAGAATCCTGATATATTCACAAAGCTTCTGGAAACGCCCAGAAAGTAAGTTTGCTTTCCAATCATTATTTTATGTAACAGATATTTTCCCTTTTACACGATGGATACGAAGAGGATTGGTCAGAATAATTTTAGCATTGCATATTCTTCAGCAATACGCAAAAAGATTCCAAAGCGAGCTGTCTAAATTGAAACGCATTATTTTTTGTTGGTATTTTTTTTACAGATTTAAATGGTTTGAAAATTTTGAACAAGATCAAGAGAATGCTTGGAATTGTAGTAGGCAAACACCGAACAGCCTATCGTATACGAATTATGACAAGAAACGATATATTATGCTTTCGGATAAAAATACGCATGACGAAACATTAATTGGAAGAATCACAGATACGGTATCATCATTAGTGCTATTAATACAATTTATAAAATTTATGGAAGCGCTTGCTTTAGGGAAGATAATTAAAAGTGTTTTCAAAACCTTTCTAACTTTCATGCCTTTCCTATATTTGAAAGATTTGTGTTTAAATATAATTCATTTATGTATCAAACTGCTGATCTTTCTCATTTTTAAATAAATAAACGATATCAGAAATTACAATTGCAGTTAGAAAGGCCACAAATATTGGATAGCAATATATCGCAAGATAATCAAGACCAAGTGAATATCACCACTAAAACTCCATCGAATTATGTAAATCTTGATGATCTGAATGATAATGATATTTCTTCATGCACATCGTCCTTTCTTTCGGTGCGGTTGAACCTTTCGACATTTTCAACACGCATTTATTAATTATGCAAACCGTATGAGTTAAGAAGTTGATAACATAAAATCTTACGTTCATAAAGGTGCTCCAAATTAAGTTGTTGATCTTACAATATCCTGGAAGACATGCACACCTTTTGTTAAAGATTGGAAAAAAAATGCTTTTTCATTATCAGTTCAAAGTATTTAATCTATAACTGAGTAGACAGATTTGGATGTTTTCTCCTAATTTTCTTTCCCATTTATCATAATATTTCTCACGGCTGAACGGAGTTCAAGAAACGTACAATATTTACAAAGCTAAGAATAACTCTTATTATCATGTATCTTCAGTAACTTGCAAGAATTTCACTTGCATTCTATTGGAAAAAAACCTTTCTTCGGACGGAAACAGATAAATGCCTTAAAGCGTTATAGATAGGCGCAAATACATATTATGATGAATGCTCACATTTTGCTCCTCAAGTTCTAAATACATACGGCAGAATGAAAAAGCGTAGATGTTAGAAATTTTCACTAATTATTATTTCATAGATCTTCTTGCTTGGTCTCATGGTGGCTAAATTGGACTTCGTTGTTAGAAATTTAGCGCAAAAAATTAATTCTGTGGAAGGCAGTTATGAAAAAAAGCAAAAAAATCCACAGATAAATTTATCATACTTAGTTTGATAAATAAAGCGATCCGACAAATTTCCGTTTATCGACAGAATAGATGAAACTTGCAGACTTTATTCATTTGTGAAATAACCGAATTTTAAATTGAATTTTGATTATTCCAGGGAAACAGTGATACGTTAACTTCTGAAGAAATTGAGGAAAAACGAAATGAAAGGTAGGAACTTTGTCAAATACAAATCTCAAATTTGATGAGTCCCATGATTATTCAAAAAATTGTCAAGATTTTTTTCCAAATTTCAGTTCCTTCGAAGCACTTTTACCAAACGAGCTTAACTCCTTAACGCTTGATAAAATGGACATTCTTGAAGAAGCTAATCCAACATCATCTGACATTTCACGGTATGTATACTGGTTTTTAAATTCGATTCACACTTCAAATTTCAAAAATGTTGAAAAATTTGGACTATGCTTAATTCTGTTACACTGACATATTTCAGTTCTCACTATTTTCATGGTATTCCACTGAGTAAAAAAGAAAGTTGCAGCAGTCTAGACGATGTGAAAGAATTATTTCATAAATATAATGATCGGGTATAGCATTCATAATAAATTTATTGAGAAATTCAAAGAGACGCTGGATAATTCAGTGAGTATTGAAACGGATAGAAGTATCATTGTGTGAACGAATAAGATGCATAATAAATTGTGAAATTTTTATACAAAATATGAATTAATTGAATTGAAAGTATTAGCTATCAAAAATGAAATTAGGAATAAAATAGTCCAAATATGCTTATTACATTCTTGCTCCAGGTTGATTTGTCGCATATGGAGGAAATTTGTTTAGCATCTAAGTTGTGCCCACTCTGGAAACAACCACTTTACAATTGCATCTCTACTTCAGTTTCAAATTTCATTGATTTTAATGAATTCACAAATTGGTGGAAAAAGTATGCTTTTAAAAGATCGATTGTCCATTAAAACAATAAATGTCAACTTTTTACGTTTAAGTTAAAAAAAATTTTGACTATAAAAATTTGAAAATTTTGTCAAATTGAACATATTTTTTCAATTTTTTTTCAGATTTAAAGAAAATGCTTACGATGAGGCTTCACGCTTTGTTTACATTTTAACGAATGGAAGCCGAAATTTCCTTGTTGCAGATGATTTTGAAGCACTTATGCAGGACTTAATTGAGACATTACCCTCACTGAGCTTCTTGAAAGAAGCAAATACCTTCCATCAAGCATACATCAAAACAGTTATGGAGAATTCTTTTTTTCTCATAAGTTTGTCAATTTAGTTCTAAATCTTAAATATTTCAGGTGACAGCACGCATTTTCTGGACTGTTTGTCATTCTTGGAAAAAACATATTTCAATAGCAGAATTACGTTCATCAAATCTATTAAAGGTGAGTTAATTATCTGTATCACATACTAATAAATTCTATAGCCAGACCTAATGGAACAATAGCTAATGTAAGTGAAGCACTAATGCAGGCCGAATGGAGTCATTTTAATTTAATAAAATTCGGCACACTTATATTAAATGTTTTTCACTTGCTCTATTTTGATTGCTCTTAGAGTTTTTTGAAAAATATTGCAGGCAATTAGAGCACTGGAAAAAGTAGACGTCAATGAAGAACGTGAATTTTTTAGTTACGAACATTTTTACGTTATTTACTATAACTTTTATTTGTTGGATAAAGATAAAAAGAATTACTTAACACCGTTTGATCTTTCTCTTTATTCCAATTGTGGTAAGTTTTGCAATGATCGAAAAAAACTAATAATTTGTGAAAGATATCATTTACTGCTATCAACTTTGACTTCGTGATGCAGTGAATTGATTGTTAGAAGTGAAAGATATCATTTATTACTGTCAACCCTTGACTTCATGATACAGTGAATTGATTAATAGAAGTAATCATTTGAAACGTTTTTTACATTACTTTCAAACTTAAAAGTTTTAGCATTAACAAATTTGGTAGTGGAGCGCATTTTTTCCGGAGCTGTATCACCGAATTGTTCAATGAAACAAATTATGGACTACATTGCATTTGTCAATTTCTTATTGGCAGAAGTTGACAAATGTCACCCGAAAAGGTCAATAAATATTATTCCTGTGTCTGTATGTGTGCACTTTTTAAAAAAAAAAAATCGTTCATTTGAGCTTATCGAATAATTCCAAATCTCGCTAAGTTAGTTTATCTTGCGATATTGGAATAATTATACTTCGAATGCATTCATATATGAATCTACGGAAGACACCGATAATTGTTGTAATGATCAAACTCGCCCTGTTTAATTTAACCACTGGGTAGGCTGATCAGACTTTTGCCAATCTTCGTCATGACTTTACTTATTGTCTCCCTCGTATTATGATTGATTGAATGGCTATACTATATTTCAGATGAATATTTGAAGTCTAAATTCGAAAAAAAATTTAAAAATTTCTTTATAATTTAAGTATCGAGTACTGGTTCCGAATAATGGATTTAAATGGAGATGGTCGCATTTCATTTGATGAAATGGAACGATTTTATAACGAAATAGTAGCAAATGTTGTCAATATGGATGTGGATACACTAATATTCAATAATTTAGTAAACATGGTAAAAAAATTTTTTTTCTAGCAATAACTGCTAAAAAGTACAGCTTTCTTGAATTATATCATCATAGAGCCATTAACATACCTAGTGATTTCTATCGCAATAAACAATTCCTTTGTAATGATTCGGAAGTAAATACTAACCATATTTCTTTAAGTTGAATCTTTTTCTTCAATTATGTAATCATTTCTACAAAAAGTTTTTAAGTTAAAAGATATGATATCACCACATTCACCGACATATTTTACATTATCCGATCTTAAACGATCTCCTTCACTGGCGCGTTATTTCTTCGATACTTTTACCAATTGGATGAAACACATTGCACAAGAAAGTTGCAAGCCTGTTAGAAGAAACGTATGTTGTAAATTAGTAAAAAATTCATACTGAAGACAGTAAAACAAATAAAATTGTATAAGGATATTTAAATTTCTACTAACTGTGTGCTTCATAAATTTCTTCTAAAATGATTGTTCATTAAAGACATTATAAAATATTGTTCGGAACTTCCAGAAATTTATTTAGGTAGCGAATTCACGATTCAGCGATTGGAATCGCTACTGTAAATCGAAATACGAAATATTAAGAGCAAAATTATCGAATAATGACAAGGAAACATTAGTTAATGAAATTTTGAATAGTCTAAATCTAGTAATGAAAAAAGAAATCATATCCGCTATTTTCCAAAGCTGCGAATTATTCTTTTTCTAAATCTTGCTTTAGTGATGGTTCAGAAAATTTTACTTGTATGATTTATCATCCACTGCGCGAAAATGAGCCTTTTCAGTGGAACTAAATGTTAAATCGAATCCATCAAATTATTTTATATTCAATTATAATTTCATAGAATTTCTTACTCTTCAGTGACGATCATCGACAACTATTAAGGTGGAATAAGATTTGTCAAGGCAGATGTAATATGCTCGATGAATATTAGTGGACTTTGAAAATATGTGATTTATGCTGTGATATTTAAATGAAAAAACTGTAGTTCAGGCATCGTAATTTAGACAACAAACCCGGTTACTTTTTAGTCACCTTTTCGAAATTCAATTTAATGATTGCATTTTTATGATATTTAGGCAATTTGAAGCAAACAGTAATATGATTTGCCTGCTTGTAGTACTTAATTTTGATCTATGTAATTAATTAAGCTATAAAAGAAATGCTTATCCATAAAGTAATCACGTAATTAAGCCATAAAAGAAATTTCTAGCCATAAAGTAGCCACGTAATTTAAAATGAGATGCGCTGATCAATAACAAATGTCTTGTATTTAATCCACTATTTAAAGTTTCTTTGAAATGCTCCTGTAAGATTTTTATTTTACAATACCAATTAAATTTAAGG